TACTGTACTGCTACCAAGAATCCTGCTTGCTCTTTATAAGAACCAGTCTGCTGTAATTCAATAAAACACAACTGACTGATAACCTGTTCCGAGTCTCATTGTTTACACGACAGTAGCATGGCCAAAGTAGAATTTCAGAAAACAGAGCTCAGTTTCATTAGGAGCTGCTAATTTTCTTACATTAAATTGCTGTTCAGGATGCTGCAAAATTTAAATGTAACTTTAAGGTGCTTGTCTCCGGTGTGTGTCCCTCAAGACACTTTGAAATCAATGTACTCAAATTAGAGAGCACAGTTGCCGTTTACAGTTTATTTGTAGCATCGGCAACTGAAAAAGCACTCAATGAAATGGCAATAATGAAGCACTAGAAATGTAATCTGAACATTTCAGTAAACATTGTGGTTCAGAACTGTAGTAACTTGACAAGGATTTTGGCAAGAGGTCACTTTGTATAACTTTGATGTGACCGTATCTCTATTATATACCATATGCACATAAATGTATCTTTTGCAAAGCACCTTTATCCAAACAACGTGTTGAGGGACATAATATCAAATCAATGTCATTTAGTGCATACTAAATAAAAAATGATAGCACTGAAAGTGATAAATATAACTTCCAGTGTACAAATAATTATAAAACTTTATCTGTTCCTGTCAGAAAATTTTTAGATATCATGAGTATGTATCACAAGATAAATGTTAAGTTTAATCATCAGTAATGTGTGAAAAGTTCATGGCAGTTTTACTGTAAATGGTTTGATTGATAAACTTTACTCAAGGCATATAAACCTATAAAACAAACAGATGGAAATATCCATACATGTATAAAAGCACTTTCATGTGCATGTTATGATTGTTAATTCAGTTAATTAATAAGAAAAATTACAATAAATTTAACCTAATTTAGACAAATGAGGTGATAAAGAAAAAAACCTTTCTAGATTTAAAGTCCATGACCATTCCCAAACAACCATGCTAACAATCTACAATGAACATTTCATGGCGAAATTAATCAGCTACATTTGACTGTGAGCAAGTAACATGAATACACTGAAAGATGCAGTCATATTATGGGAAACACCATCAAAGTTCCCTGAATTTTCTACAATTACGGCAACTCTGCTACTGCACATATTTTTTGCAGAGTTTCTGTACACACTGTGAAACTCAATAACAGTGTGATATGACATTGAGAGTAATAGGAAAATACGTAACGCTGGAAAGGAGCCCCGTCACTTTTCCTTGTGGGTCAGAAGAAATGCAACAAACCCAATACATAAAATCCATATTCTGCAGCATTGATGTTAGAAGTTTCTGAATTTATCCATTGATGCAAGAGTCAAAGGCTTCAGTCATCCCCCAGCCGAAAGCCTTGACCCCAGTTATGGCGCCCACCTCCACCTCCTGGCTGCTCTTGGGGCACAGGTCTCCTGCTTGGAGGAACGCCGAATCCAGACACCCCACCTCGTCGATTTGGGAACATCTGGTACCTGAGGAGAAAAGAAAAGAAAAGAAATGATAGGAAAAATATGACAATAAAGCATAACGGTATCATTTTTAAGGCGTTTAATAATGCACTAAACCCTTAATAACTCCTAACTTGTTACTTTCATTCAGCTATTAATTCATATATTAATAAACAGGCACTTCATTCATATCAGCACTGCTTGCATATTACAGCAGAATAACAGGAAGGAAATAAACTCACAGGAACTGTGGGGTGGAGAGGAAGGACCTGCCACCCAGGTCCATGGGGTATTTAAACATCAGAAAGAAGTAAAGGTGGCCAACTAAGTTCCCAATCAGCTCGTTGACAATGCTGAAGAAAGAAATAGGTTATTATTACAATTATTATGCTACTGCGATGACTCGTTGTGTAACATTTTCATCAAATGACTATGACATTTGAACATTAATCTGTGTGAGGCAAAAAGATTCTTACGAGCCACCGATGATATAGTTGAATCCCAGAATGACCCAAGGAAGATAACAAGCCTGTGTTAGTGTGAACATGAACAGGTTTTAGTGTACATCAGTATATCATATAAAAACATACTGCATTTAATAATGCACTGAATACCTTGAATCTGGTGCCGAACCAGAAAGATACAATCATGTCACGATTTAGCTGAGCCCAGACGTACAGAACAGACATGATCAAGGGGATCATCAGGAGCTGCAAAACACAAAAAAGCCAATATTTATGAACAAATGAATAAGGAAATAAAAATTCAAATGCAACATAACAGAATTTTCCTTAAAAAAAAAATTAAGATAAAAGATGCTTTTAAATGTCATGCAATGGTCCTTAAACAACTAATAGGATACATATAAAAGCTTAATTAACTCCATGAGTGCAGAAAATGCTCATAAATCACACAAGGTTATCATTTCGATTAAGCAGCACAAAGTTTCAGATGATGTTAGAAAGACAAAAACTACTTTGAGAACATTAAATGATGATTTACACCAAATACGAGTGGCAAAGTTTAGCCTAATAAGTTAGAAGATAGCTTCATTATTTGACTTCTTAATAGATATCCGACACATTACTAAGTGCCAATCGCACAAAAAGTGGAAAATTCACATTTTAGAAAAAGGAAGAAAAGCAACTGACTAACCTGCATGTCCATCATTAGACCTGTTATCTGAATTATAAATGTTAAGGAAAGATAAAAGCTGTGTGTCAAAGGAAAATGAACATGACTCCTAGAAAAGCTTTTTCTCGCTGAGTGGACGCTGCATAGAATGGAAACCACATCTTCAGAGGATATTAAATCATTTAATGCAATATACTAAAATGCTGAATTCAGCACATCACATTCATTACTCATTCACTGTTAATGTGGGTATGCGCTGTACAGACGCAAATCATTTAATGACAATGACTAATCACTTGTTTGCATTGCACTGAATGACACATTTAATCTTTTAAAATATTACAGTATAATGTGTACAGGACAGAAAGGATACAACAATACAAATCCAGTTGAACAGAAGCATGAACATGTAGTCTGCTGGTCTTCCATCAAAAGCTCCTGTGAAAGGGAGAAGAGATGATGAGATGTCACATCCCATAGTAATCATCATTTCACTTCCTGATCAAAAAAAGTTTTACACAAAGAACAGTATTTGTATGTCATATTAACAAGTCATATTATAAGACTAATAAACACTATTTTATTTTAAATGAAGTGGGTAACCTCACAGGGGCTGCCATTTTGAATTTCTGATTGGCTGAATGCTTCTTTCTTTATATAAGTAACCTCCCTATTATTGGACATTTTCACTCATGGAATAGAATTAATCATGGCTATAAATAGAGCATTTTTACAAGGGGCATTGTAAGTGAAAACTTGTGATGCTGCATCCACACCACTAGGTGTCAGTATAAAGGCCCATTCACACCAATAATGATAACTATAAAGATAACTATAACAATAACTAAATTACCGTCCACACCAACAGACCATAACACCGTTTAGTCTAAGAGCATGGTGCAATTTTGTTGTCTGTTGCTTTATGTGCTCTTTAAAGTCGGGTGGATTCTGCCCGGCTGTCAATGTTTTTTTATCATTCTGAAAGTGAACAAAAACTATTCTGAAAGTCATTCCAACAATATTGTTCCTCTGTTGTTATATATGGGAACAGTAAGTCCACACAACAGTTTCAAACCAAATTTTCCAGCTGATAAAAACATCGACAGCCAATCAAAATCCACCTGACTTTAAAGAGCTTAAGCATTTAAAGCAGCAGATGACAGAACTGCAGTTAAGATGACTGTTGTATCGTACGTAGCCCAACTTAAACAAAAAATGCTGAGTGCACTTTTAAGTCCAGTCAGATATTATTTTAATTAAAGGATGATTAATACATTTTAGGGAACAGAAGCTACCTGTTTCAAGCCTCGTGGAGTACTGGTAGAGGAAATACAAATTAACCAGGTATAGAAAACCCGTCCCTGGGCCAACTGGGAAATAGAACGTTGCAGATATCGGTCTCCATATCTGTTGAGAGAACACAGAAAAAACATTAGTAACTTGACGCAGATTACTGTTGGAGATGCCCATCGATTCTGGCCTATTGAAAGAGATGTATCAAAGTACTTCTTGGTAGTCTTTTTTTAAGACTCTTAAAGGGATAGTTCACCCAAAAAAAGAAAGCTCTGTCATTATTTACTCATCGTCATGTTGTTGTATGTATGTATGTCTTTCTTCTGTGGAGCATAAATGAAGATGTTTGGTTACCAACATTCTTCAAAATATCTTCTTTTGTGTTATGCAGAAGAATGAAAGTCATACAGGTTTGGAACGGCATGAGGATGAGTAATCAGTATTATACTATTATCCCTTTAAACTGAAGTAAAAGTACAGAAAACCAACAGGCACTGAGAATATCCAGCAAGCACCATTTGTATGCAGTCACCAGCACTGGCTGAAAATGATGAAAAACGGAGTGGCTACCATGCTTGCACTGCAGATTTGATTCCCCGCACTTTCTGGACTCATTATCCAACTGCAGCTATTACACCAGACATCATGCTCTGAGAGGAACAGACACTCATCTGGTCTGTTATCCAGATTTTTCGGTAAACAACAAACATGCACCCCTGCACACAATTTTTTAACACTCTCCGGTGTCTAATTTGCTCTCAACATGCACATGCTGCACACCTTATTGCTCTCTATAGTCCCCGGCTGTCTCATTCTCCTCCCTTTCCCTGTATCCCTCTCTCACTTCTAGCGCTTTCTCTCCTCCCTCCAGCACACACAGAAACTCTGAGCTAGCAGGTTTTTTTCGGTCTGGGGGCTGTGAATCCGCTGAGCAGCAATGCTTTGATGTTGGCGTCTGAACTGGCTCTGCAGTAGCCAGGCAGTCCAACGGCCCCCTCACGCACTGCAGTATAAATCATGCCAGCTCACTTGTGTGGAGAGGTGACCTCTGTAGACTGCAGCACAGAGAAAAGTGGGTTAAAAAGCACAGCAGGATTGGTATGCCGCTAGAGGACAGGGAGAGGTTTGTTTGGCCGCTTCTCAACAGCTAAATGGTTCCTGGTTTATGGTTTAATAGCAGGGTATGCTCTGAAAGTGGGTGATATCACTCATTTTGCTTATCTGCAGTATCCTGTGTGCAATGTATTTCCGCACTCCATAGCTGTGTTTACTTCCTATATATGTGCCATAATACAGAAGAAACCTGTACTGGCAGGATAGAGGTCATGAAACGTTAGCTAATAGTGAGCAGACAGGAGCTGAGTTTAGAGCATGTTCAAAGGGAGTGGATAAATCACAGAAATACCATGTAAAAATGAGCTTTATGTTTAAGATCCTAAATTACAACCAAAATTGCAGCTACAAAAATGAATCAATTAGTCATTAGCAGAGGTCAAATTACTCTGTGTCTGAATTCCAGGCGCATCACTCATGAAAACTGGCATGGGAAACAGATTCAAAGCAATAATGCTGCCATTTACAAACTAGACAAGCCAAAGAAATGTGGGTTTCCAAATACATATTAAAATAACTTCTAGGGGGCTTTACTTCTTAAGAAGTGGTGCATTGCCACAGTTTATGAGCTGCATGACAGCTGTTTAAGAGAGGGGTTTTCAATCTTTTACATGCCACAGACCCCCAAATATGATAATCCTCTCACAAGGGACTCCCATCCTAAAGTTGAAAAGACAGCTATATTTTTTATGTATAAATACTCAATTTATACTGTGAAAAAATAAGATTATAAATCTGTGTAAAATATTATTTGGAAAATATTTATGTATTTGTTTTACATAACATTATCACATTTCCCCTACTCATAGTACTGCTGCATTGTTAGATTAATTCTTTTTTTTAATTTTTTTTTATTTATTTTAATCAAATTGGTGCAATAGTAATAAGGATGGAATTAATGGATACAAATGTTTCTTACAAACATTCATCTGTTGTTTTACACTTGTAGCCCACAAACAAATAGCTTTGCGCCACCTGGTGGAAATTACTGCAACCGAAAAAAATAAATATTATATTTTTGATAGTTAATAAATGACCATGCTTAATTACATATTTTAATATATTTACAATACTTATCTTACAGTTTAGGCAGACTGTCAGAATTAGGCATTAGAAAAGCCGTCCTCCGTAATGAGGACAACAGAACACCATTATTTATATTATATGTCGCAAAACTTTTCCTAATTAGGTATAGCAAATAAGGTTAAAATATTTACCATCACATTGAGAAGCAGTGCTTGTGGAAGGAAAAAAATTAATTGGGCAGCCCACGAAAAGCCTGTTGTCCCGGAAGTAGCCTCAGACGCGTTCTCGGCTGTCATTGGTTGAACAGAGCAGGCTGGGACGAGTTCAAAGTTACTGCTTTTTTTTTTTTCTGTGGCTGCGCAACTTTTGATTCAAATGGCGTTTCCTGTCTTTCAATACTACAATATACCGCCAGTATAACATTCTAATGGTGACGTACAGATGGAGGGTGCGATTATGCTAAATAAATTAGGATACTGTCGATGCATAAATAGCACGTGTTAACGCTCTTAGCCATTATTTACCATTCTCATTCTGCATAATCATAAAGCATCGTATTAAGTATTCGTATTCGCTTCGACAACCTTTAAATACCTAACATTCAGACTTCCTAAAGTACAACAAAATATTATATAACAAACCACGTAATTTAGGCAATCATGTGCATGAGATTTTGAACAACTAGACTGCTGACTTTATACACTGATCAGCAAACCTTCTCGGTTCACTACAGCACTGTTCTCCTGTAACGCAGTCCATGTGTGGGCATCAGTTTAACGTTACTTCGGTACGAGGCCTACAACAAGGCCTTGTCATCGCAGCTGTTGTCTAAAGTCTCCGTTCTGTTGAATTTAATGTAAACCTACCTGGAATTTATGAAAGAAAGCCTCCGGCCATAACACAAGGTACATAGGACTGATTAATCCCAGTTTTCCTATTAGCGGCACTGCAATTGAGCCAGCAAACCAGTAACGAGTGATGAAAGGGATGTTTTTAAACCAGTCCCCGATATCTGACATCTTGCCATATGATTAGAAAGCCTGGAGATTCTCTGTGGGTTCTCCGCCGATGCGGGTTAGGAAAACGAGTCTGTGAACACAAGGCAGAAATGCTGCTTCAGTCTTCTTCTATTTTGGTTCAGTTAACGTTACTATGGTGTACGCACTCCTTCCCCGTTTGGTTTACATGACGTGGCCGCGTACAGACGCGTCCTTGTTGCGATTT